ATAGGAAATACGGAATAATTTTCAGTTTATTTTCGTCTTTCATTCTGTTTATAACAGACTAAAGCAACATGAGAAAATGCACTTTCATTCAATCATTTCATTTCATTTCATTTCATTTCATTCTTTCATTTCATTCTTTCATTTCATTTCATTTCATTTCATTTCATTTCATTTCATTTCATTTCATTCATTCATTCATTCATTCATTCATTCATTCATTCATTCATTCTTTCTTTCTTTCTTTCTTTCTTTCTTTCTTTCTTTCTTTCTTTCCTTCCTTCCTTCCTTCCTTCCTTCCTTCCTTCTTTCTTTCTTTCTTTCTTTCTTTCTTTCTTTCTTTCTTTCTTTCTTTCCTTCCTTCATTCATTCCTTCATTCCTTCCTTCATTCATTATTTCCTTCTTTCTTTCTTTCTTTCTTTCTTTCTTTCTTTCTTTCTTTCTTTCTTTCTTTCTTTCTTTCTTCTTTCTTTCTTTCTTTCTTTCTTTCTTTCTTCTTTCCTTCCTTATTTAGAAATTATTACGCTTTATAAAGCCACTACATTTATTATATTTGTTTTGCCCGTATGTTTTTTCCTCCCTTTTTTACAGAAAGTCATCATTATTATATGTAGATACGGTTTATTGTGGATTGTGGGAGGTTCTAACACTTCAACACAATAATTCTTTTTTTAATATTCCTTTTTCATTTTGATATCCATGAACCTTCCGGGTCATATAGCTTCACAATTCTTTAAATAGATGACTGATATATCATCGATCATGATGATGATGATCACATAGGAAGTTATCCATCAATTTATAATTTATTGATGAAAGTGATTCCGTTTTTAATTTATTTATGAATTTTCAACATGATTGAATAATCCTTGGAGAGGAGTAGAAAATGGAGTATAGTTAAAATTTAATGATGTGTAAAACTTATCAATTATCATTAATATGGACAAAGAAAAAATGATGGTGAAAAAGGGGAACGCAGGTGGATGGGCGATGGTGGGTGGGGGGTTGGGGGGTGATTGTCAGTGGTACGTTTTTTGACTCTAGGGAGATGAGGGTTCTTGGAAAAGGCGATATATGTGTCTGTTCCATATAAACATAAGTTTTGTTGTATGTTGTTTTTTTTGTTTTCTGTTGTTTTTTTTTTCATTTTATTTAAAAAATACAACAACAAGAGATTTTGCTTAGTGATTATTACTTTATGGTTTATATTCTTGCACTGTCTTAGCAGCTTAATTACCAAACATTCTCAATTTAGTTGCTAAATCATGCAATACACAGATATTATTGTTCTTCTTATCAAACTCTGCTTTTATATCCACAAAACAAACAAAATCACATTTACCGTTATATAAAATTGTCATGTATTTAACCCCTAGTATATTTTTGATAAAATCAGGGTCTTTCAGATAGATATATTTAAAAAAAAACCTTGTAAAAATGTTTTGTAATAAAATTGACAGTTTATCTACCGTGTACAATAATATGTTTCATATTTACGACCATGTACATTATTTTAATGTATGTCTATAATTTTGTTTATAAATTTCCACACGTGTTATTGCAGAATCTAATATTTTGTCTTCCAAATAAAACGTATGTTCTGTTCTGTTAATAAATTTTATGTATACGACAATAAAATATATTATGTGTTTGCCTTTTCTTGTTATTGTAGCCGTTTATATGCCATTTTTCTACGTTTTTTTCTACAAGCATGAAATAATCTATTTCAATGCATTATATGACTGAAAAATTCTTTCCAAATATTAAGATATTTTCAGAATATCTAAAAATATTTAAAAGTGTTAGGAATATATTTTCAATTTTTCATAAAATCTACAAGAACTTCAATTAAGTCTTTGTAATATGTGTAATATCAACGAATATGTAATTAAAAGTTGCAATTCTTAACAATTGAATTAAAATATGAACATATTTTAATAACATAACATGGTGGCAATATGCTGCAAACCAGTAGCGGATATGACGTAATATTACGTAATCTGACAGCTACTTGTTACCACGCTGTATGTCTTTAACGGACCATCTTTTATGACATGTGCTATGTACATCCAAACCTCTTCAATATACACTGACTAATATACCAAAACACATAAGTGTCACTTCAGATATTTGCTACTGCTGCAAATTCACAACTGACCACTTCGCATATCCTAAAAATCTTGGATTAATTAACAACGCATGGTTGACACATCATTTGTAACGAGGGTCATTTACGACAACAAATAACATATTTTGATTTTGTGCTTTATTTTGTATAAGAACACTACATATGTATCATATTTATTATAATAATATATAATTTTATGCCGAATAAATTGCAACCTTTATTACACCGGCATATTTACACAATAACTAAAAGGAAAATTGGTAAAACAAATATAAAGAAATTAAAAAGGTTTTAGTTTGACTAAGTCATATTTTAGTTGAACGTTTCAGTACTTTATAAAAAACAACAAGTTCGAATATATTTTGCGTACTGATTATTATAAATCAAATTTCTTCTCTTTTTACGAGAGATCTTTTTCACCCAAAGACAATTCAAGGCACAGGTCTTAAGTGAAAAATATAGTATATCAAATAATTAGGGAAAATGTCGGTTCAAATAAGTTCATCACTTAGGACGATAAATACTATTTGAGGGCATGACTGGTAACATGGCAGCAACACCTTATTTTTTTTTCTCCATGATATAGTGGCATATATTGGTCTCATCGGCCTTCCGTGCAGCATGATAGTTCCGTCATAAAAATCGACTTGCATACACATATTTAGTATCTTTCAGTGGATTACTGAAATCAAAATTTAGGTAAATAATAACATTTAAGGCTATGAACTGTGACATGCCCGGGGTCCGCACTCTCAGTGCCTGAAAGGGCGGATGGACCCTCATTAAGCATAGACAGAAACAACAACAACTGCTGGTTCAGTTTTATGTTTAAAACGATTCTAACTAGATTGTTAAATTTTGTATTTTCATATGAGCCAGTTAGTGTTGAGATTTGCTAATTATTTGTTTCATTCTATTAAATAATGGGTTTATATTAACGTTGTTATTTGTAATAAGTTTTTACCATATGATGTTGAAAATAAAATAACTGAAAAGCATATGATCTCATTTTTGAGGAAGAAAGTTCGTTTCAAATTTACATCAAGGCTTCATCATTTCCCAGTTATTTATTATCATCATTAGCTATAATCAAAATTATAAATAGTGATAGTGTTTCAATACAAAACAACATCATCATTTCGCCCTAAATTTCAGGAATTAATATTTGTCAGTCGACATTAAGTAAGCAATAATATTTGGGAAAAAAGTAATAAATATCGAACATTTCCAGAAAAAAAGGGAAATTGTCATTTTCATAGTTCGCGTGTCTCGGAAGGGCAGATCTCAAGTACATGTATATGTAAATAAATAAATATTTACTTTGACAGCATGATACAAGACTATACCGTGTCATTTTTAAGATGCTGCTGTATTTATATAACGGTTTAATGTGTAAGTATGAAACATGTTTCTACCATACGAAGTGAGAAATATTTCCAGATGTTTTAACAATTTTATTCCGGACTGGAATGAAATACATAAAAAGTCATCTAGGCGGTCTGACGTTTTTCAGTTGAACCGTGTAAATATTAGAAATATTAGAGCTTTGATTTGCAGAAATGTTCTTTAACCCTTTAGCTTAATCATGAAAGTTAGTGATTTAGATAATTCAAATGTATAGTTAAATGAGTTGTCCAATAATTTTAGATAATATGAAAATTTATATTTTCAACGAACAATAATAATCTTCAAATAATGATACCTTTAAGTAGTATTTCTTGATAACATAAGAGGTAAGGAATGCGTATGTGCCATTCGAAATTCCAAAATTTTCGAGATATTGTAATTTTTAGGGACTGGGTAAAGGAAAGGTGTAGGGGTGGGGATGCAGCTGAATCCGTGTCACAGATAAAGATATCATGTTTATATCAATCATATATTGTATAATTATATATGTACAACTCCTGATGAATTTATTGATTCCCATTCTATATAAAACTGCAAAATTGATTAAATACATATTTCCAAAGTATTGTTCTTTTATTTTTCTGTATATTTTTTCTGTATATTTACAAAAATATTAATACATATAATAAGAAATAATATATTCAAAGATTTCATCTATCCTCTTCATAAAAATTAATATGTACATTAATGAAAATTAAATATATCTTATATTGTGAACATTGTCATAAAATGAAAAGTTATAACTGCGTTGTTTATTATATTTATACAAAAATTTTGTATATTTTTATTCTGTCTTGAAACTTTCTAACTGACAGCTATTTATCTACAGGAGAATATTACTTTTAAATAGATATTTAAAAATTAAATCCCATTTTAAAATCATAATCAAATTAACAAAACTTGACTTATGATAAAAAATAAATAATTTTATAAACTTTTCCTGTGTCATTCTATTACAATATTTAATTTTTAAATGTGAAAAATTACCTTAAATTATCTTTAAAATATCAAAATCCAGATTAATATTGGAGCAACAAAACTTAATAAAATTTAATCAGAACAGCGTGAATATGAATAGATTATCTTTATTATCGTGAATAATTGCCGTATTGTTTTAATGTTTACGCTACTGAAATGGCAGGGGCTAGAATATATCTGCTCAACAGAGTTTATGAGAAGATTTCCCAATATTTTCCTTCATTTGATAAAATCATACAACAAATCAGTGATTTAGGCCTCCCCGCCTAGTCAGACGAATTTTCTATTCAATCGGCGCACGAATACACCTATTCTAAAAGGTTTACGCCTACCAATGATCACGCAGCGAATCACGCGCACCCCGTAGTGTTTGTTTATTGATAATCTGTCAATCAAATCGCCGCGAGCCAATCCGCGCGCAGTAGGGGCACGTCGCGAGATTATGCGAGAGCATTAAGGTCCGACAACCTACTGTGAAAATTAACTGTCGAACTGTTTATGTTTCAAAAATACAGAAGTTTTACTGACTCAAAACTGTTCAAAAGCTAAAAACCGCTGAGAATGGGAGTGAATTAAAATGTTTCAAGTTTATTAAACGTGTTGAAAGAACTTTATCGAAGAACTGAAAAAACAGCGGACACGGTGAGACACCGTATTATTTGACGTTTCTCCGTGTATGCGACGACAACGCTAAAGGATTCTCCAAAAACACGGACCCTGCATGATGTTATGATACGGACGGGGCACCACTGAGCACTAGCTGCGTGTTACACCATTATTCGGGAGATCACAGCTTAAGAGATATTTCACCGAAATAAAATAGTGAACACTGACTTGGAAATATAAATTCGTGTGCATTACTTATATGTTATTTATCAGAGACGGATTTTTATGTATATTAAGTGGTAATAGAGGTTTGTTTTTTTACTCTAAGACATCTTTAATGTGGTTAGTGTTCGTATCTCTGTGGATTTGTGTGTTGAATTAGGACTACAAAAAAACTTTCAAAATGATTAATCCATTCATGGAAACACCGCATACTCCTCACTTGCCGCCGGGTGCAATGAAATTAAGCCCACCGCATCATATGTCGGATGGAGGAAGTATTCACAACCAGTTGAACCAGTATGTGCCACAAACAAACGGATACAGTGTCGGTGTTCCACCATCACATCTCTCAAGTTACGCATCCCGGGATTATCTTCTACGCAGGGATATGGGGTTGCAGAGTCACGAATCGAATAGCATGTTTATACCGTCGTCGGGTAGCTACCACACCCCACACCACGACACAGGTAGCAGTCATATGTTATTTCCAGGGATTCACGACGCTACATCTCACCCGGGTAGCCAATTGAACAGCCAGATGAGGCTCGGACTCACGGGTGCTGATATGTACTCAAGGGACCACTTTAATCAAATGTCAGCGCCTCGTACGGATCACTTCGCCCATCAGTCACATTTTAATTCTATGAACCCGATGAACGCTATGAATCATATGAGCATGGGACCCCACGGCCCGGGGGCCTTCTTTAGATACATGAGACCTCCAATAAAACAGGAACATACGTGCTTATGGCTAGACAAAGATCAACCTGAACCCAAAAAACCGTGCAATAAGACATTCACTACAATGCACGAGATTGTTACACATATTACAGTTGAACATGTTGGTGGGCCCGAGCAAACTGATCACGCCTGTTACTGGCAGAACTGTCCAAGGGACGGACGACCTTTCAAGGCCAAATATAAGTTGGTGAATCATATTCGTGTACATACGGGAGAGAAGCCCTTCCCATGCCCGTTCCCTGGGTGTGGTAAAGTGTTTGCCCGCAGTGAAAACCTCAAGATACACAAAAGAACCCATACCGGTATGTAACAAAACTTTTTATACCTTTAAAACTACAACTTCCCATCTTTGACCCATTTAACCATTTTACAGAAGTAAATTGATTTCCCCTGCTTTGAAATTGCAAGAATAAATTTAAATTCTAAGGGATGTCAGTAACAAAATGCAAAAAAAAATATGAGCTACAAACAGTATAGATCCTGGTCAGACTACACGGAAGTGCAGGCTGGCCTGGCTCTATACTGGTACCACAGGCTACTTGGTAATCAGTTCGGTCGCGGCAGATAAACGGACTAAATATATTAGTCAGTGATATAGTTCTATCATAATGTTTTAAAATATATGTGGCTATATCATTTCGTTTAATATATATTTTTCAAAATTAATATGCCCTCTAAATAATAATATCGTTCACAATTTGTTAATTTTCATTAAAAGTATTTTTAATGATTATACATACAAAACATTCATAGATTTTAAGCTTGCAAATTTTATGTCTTTTAAGAATAATTTAAAAAAATGAATTTCCTTAATTGGTTAAATGATACTTTTAAACAAATAAACAGTAAAGAGTTTTATTGTGGTGTAGGAAAATAAATTCAACAAACAATGTAGTCCAAATTTTCATCCAAAATGTATTGTTATTTCTAATATTTCAAAAAAGCAAAATATAAAATTCTAATTTTTGAAAATTCTTTTTCACACATTTTGTGTCAAAAATATAGATAGCTCATGTATTTGTTTTATTTGATTTAGATTTTATTGTGAACCCTGTATCGGTGTTTACACATTTTTGCATTATCTTGTATATTTACTTAGCATCTAATGTTTACATTGGAATTATAAACTATTCGCTCACTGTATAGATTTACCTGTAACGTTAGGACATCCTTATTATCTCGTGCATTATAAAACCATTTTTGAGTTTAAAATACAAAGCCTGGTTAAATATGGGTAAAATATTTATTTTTTTAAATAGTTTTAAATTTTTTGAATGTTAAGGATTTTTGTTTTGCTTGTTTTCTTCTGGACTTATGCAAAGTTATGCGGTGACGGTTAATATATAATTTGAATAATTTAAGTTTAGATCAGAGCAAGAAAATGCTCATATTCTCTTGTTGGTTAACCAATGTTTTTGAAAATGTCTGATGTTTCATCTACTTAAAAACAAAATTTCATAATGTATATCTTAATTCTGTTTGGTAGAATACTGTTTAAATTTCTTTAATTCTAGTTTAAAGTTAATTTTAAAATGTTTATTTTTGTTTAAATACAGAGCAAACTTTCGCTTAATATTTATAAATTATTGATAATCAAACTTGTAAATTAAGTGTTAAAAAACTTTCAACTAAATCAAGTGTTAAAATACAGTAAAAACGGTAACCATGATTTAAATTTTATTTTTTGAAATCTAATCTATTTCTTTCACAAATGAGCTACAAATGTTTCAATATATTTTGTTCAGACTGACAAATTCAATTCTCTAAAAGGAGAATAAGATTTGAAAATAATTGAAATTACTACACTGTTCATACAACAAGCGAAGATGAAAAATTCAATAGAATAACACAAAGCACTCGCCTTAAATTACACACATTTGAAAATCTTCTTAGATTTGATCATTAACAATTATATGAAAATTGAAGCAGTGAAAACATTTAGGTTGTACAGAATAAATTTCAGTTTAATGGTTTGTTTTGAATTGAAAATAAATTGACCTAAATTAAAGTATGTATTCTTACTGACTTTCTATCAAGAAAAGAAAGTAACACTTTGTTAAATGATAACTTAGTCACTATTCTTATTTACTTACTAAGGGATGTACTTTTGACACTTAAGGGAATAACTTCATTCTAAGAGTATTGTAAAGAATGAAAACCTAAATGACACATTTTCACAGCGCTATGAATAAAACATTGATTTATAGGCATTCAAAACTGACGAAAGACAGGTTCCCTAATTGCTTGTAAAATATGCATAAAAATGATATATTGCAATCCATGCTTCTGTACACTATTTTCTACGTTCTTAAACTGTATTACTTTCTCACACACACAGAAACATAAAAAAGCAAACTACGGTATCAAAATGCTTAGAATGTTTCTTCTCAAATATTTCGTCTTAGCAAACCGAAATTAAAAACGTATGTTATAATTGCATACCGTCATTCAGTCCATATGAAAACCGCTATGAAAATAAACTGAAACTTAACTAATGTGGATTCTTTTTTTTTCAAATTGCGCATATTTTGCTTTCCATCCATTACCCTAATTCAGTACTACAGTGACATGCTAAATGCTATATAACCGTGTGAGAATTGTGTGTTTAACCAAGACCCAACTAAAAGGTTTTGAATTATACCGAAGTAATAAAGACTGCTATAAGTTACTGGCAAATCATAACTAAATACTCCAGTGTGACACGCAAACGGAACGTAGAAAATTTTGATGGACGTGTAAATCTAACCCAGATGATTTTAATAAGCTCGGAAAGCCGATTATTTCTGACATGTTATGCATACGAGAACAACAATAATTACAACAAGTGCTGCATCTTTACAGTGGCTGTACGACTCCCCAAGGACCCTTATCTTCCTTGTTGTTCGCACCATTTATCTGACCATTTATTAGCAAGGGCAAGTATCGCTACTGATAACACATATTTCCGCGTTTTTCACCCAATATTTTCTCCTTCCTGTTCTTATTACAATATGCGAAAAGAAACGGTCATTTAATAAGGAAATAATTTCGTTGATACAGTCAGTTCAAAATTCTCAGTGATCCAAGCGTCTGCAAAATATTTGATTATTTAAAACTAGATCCTCAGATTGATTAAACTAAAAAAAGCGAAAGAATCGTTAACTATGAACCATCGGCCATGTTTCTTTTTCTTATACATGTATTAATTGATTAACAACAAAAAAACACTTTTGAATACATGCATGATATTGAAAATAAGGTTTCGGAGAACCTATCAAAGAAGAATAAAATAAATTGATTTGAAACCATATTTGTTCTTTGAATAGATATATATTTGATACATAAAATCTGTAGGGAAAAATTAACATTGTTCGTATAATAAATGTAAAAACATACATGTAATTCTTAAGGTAGGAAGACCTCTTTTTAGGAACCATCTAACTAATAACTTTTAACTAAGTAAAACTAAAATAACGAGGAGACGATAACTATATCTGTCAGAGAAAATTGAAAATGATGTATACAGTGTTACACATTATGTTAACTTAATTTGTTAAAAGCTTTTTGTGGGTGGGGTAAAAGTCGCGTTTGTTAGCCATTAATTTTTCATACCCAGATTTACATGTGTTGGGAATCTTCAGATGTTGTAATTATCACCAGGAAAAACTTTTTGGTGGACCAACATCATAGATGAGAACACGTGTTTTTCAAGGAAGCGTTTTCTGGTGAACGCATTCTAATTTTCATTCATGATTTCTTAAACGTTTTACCGTAGCAGTACGGTATAAATGGTGCAAAACTCAAAAGTATTGTCCATACGCTATGAGATATGTTTTTTTTCTTGGTGGAAAACGTGACATCTATAAGTTACCTGTTTTTCAGTGATATGTTAGAAGTCTGTGAAGTTAAATAAATCCCTGGACATAAAATGACCACAGGTTATTTCACATCTCATTTCTTGTTCATTACTTATGCATATGTATCTTTTATATATTATGCATTATTTTACTAGTTTTATATACAAAATATGAATTATAATATCATGAATATTAATTATATGAGATCAGAATATGAAGATTTTAAATTCAGTAAAGGATATAAAAAACATAAGCTATAGAGATTCCCGCATTAAAAAAAAATAATGTTGCAACATATTATAATGGTCTGAATAATAAAGACAATAAAGGTGGCATTGAACGTGGAAAGCACACATATATAATTTTAAAAAAGCCATCACTTATGCATGAATTCCTGATTAATATTAGGAAAACAACAAATCTTTTTTAAACAATTTTGAAAACGCTTATAAAATATGACATTAAGACGTCTTAAACCAGGAAAAAGTATAAGAAATTTCTGTGTGTATAAAAAAACTATTCTTAACTATCATATTTTGGTTTGTGAAAATGAAAACGCAGTTAAACATGACAAAAATAATATTGTGCAATTTTCTGCATGTTTCGAGTGACATTTAGATAAAAGAGGTTTGCTTTTTCCCAGTGGTCGCACTTCACGGTAAACGGGACGGTAACTGGAATTTATATCAGCCACCAGATGTAAAGAGAATCATTAAAGGAAAGTTATGGGTAATCGAAAAAACTTACATCATCAGTTTGAAATATTTGCCATAAAACTTTTCAAGTTGTTCCACCAAGAATATAAATTTTCATGATGCATTTCTCAGTGGTTAATAATTCAGCTTTCTATTTTCTCTGCAGGGGATTGTAAAATAGAACGAACGGAGGTATAATAACCGAAAAGTATTGTCATTTTGTGTGAAAAGAATACCAAAGAAAATAAATATAAAGCGTTTTGAATTTAGAATTAAGAAATATGTTACAAAAATTCTTGTAAAAGAATAGAACATTTTTCCCTATGTATTATTGTTACGAATAAAGTTTATTTTGCATTTGCAATGACGTACATGCATAATAAGTAATTTTCATGAATCAAGTTCTTGAGACATTTTTGTTACTAAGGCAACATATAAATAATCTAAATAACTTGATAACGGTATAACATAAAAATGATTCATAAGAATAATACATATATAAGAATATAATGTATAGATATATAATAATGTTTGAAGTACTGACGATTTGGGGTTTCGTGTTTGAAACAGCAGACGATAAACGCCGGAAAAAAGATATTCAATATTGAAAATTCATTTATCACCATCGTCATTCTTTATAAATATATTTATTTCCGAAAAAAATAGTTTGTAAATGAACTGATATTATTTAGACATCCCTATTAGCTTTTGATGTACGAGTGATGTCGTCTGCTTAACCGATTTTCGCGACTTCACATGTAGTAGTACTTG